CAGTCGGCTTCTTGTCAAACGACGCGCGATCTCATCTAACCAGTTTGTGCGGAACCTCGACCCGAGGCCCGTCTTCGAGCCATAGAAGCGAGTCCACATCTTCCCACTAGATTCGCCAGACGTCAACAGATCGCAGCTGCGCGCGGCGGAATGTTTGCGGAACGGTAAGCTGGGTGGTACAGGGTCAAGCATGGACCGCAACGACACACTACTTCATTTCGAGTTCGCAATCACATCAGAACACCCAGTGCAAGGCAAGCTTGCTCCTTTTGTCTACAGCACTAGTAAGATAAGATGGCGCCCGATCTGTGTTACCGAACACATAGTGTCGTCCGGGACTTCTGTTGGTAGGGCGGAGTGAACGAAGGCTGCAGATATACGTCGCTCCGGCGCACGTATACAACCAAAGTTCATGACATCGATTCTGGTAACATCCTTCTCAGTGCCATAGTAGTACTTGGCCGAGGTGACACGCACGCTGCAGAACATGGTGTGCGACGCAACTCCATGCTTCCATACCTCACCCGCCGCCCTGACTGTCATGGGACAAAGAATAGACTCGCGACGGCCTCGAGACATCTTGGGAAGCACTCGGCCGCAGAGGTGTGTGATGCTTGCGGGCCGTATGGGCGCATTGCTGTCCCTGGGTGCGCACTAATCATCCAGAAGTGCTTGGCGAAGCCGATAAGGCGAGATGGATGCCACGCTATGCACGCAGGTTCAGCGACCCTGCAGCTGACGGCGAGCGCGGCTTGTAGATCTTGCAGAATCAGTGGTCATCTCGGACCGCCTCGGTTATCCAAAGGCTCAAAGGGGCGATAAGCTTTGGTAAGAAGGCAGAGAAGTCCGATGAGGAAAGACGAAGCTGCCATCAGCATCCCTGAACGTGTAGGACCAAGGCGGTCCCAATGGCATGTACAGATCGACAGAGGATCAGTCAGTGAAGATGGAGTTGGCATTAGTGCACACTCTCCTGTCGCGGGACCATCCCGTGTTATGCTACCATTTCTTGTTCATTAGGCATATGCGATAGTCGAAACCGGCCGCATTCGATTCTCCTTAAGCCGTCGTAAGTCAGTCAATGTTCGCGGCAGACTGGACCGACCTCACCGCGATAGACGCTGATGGTAGCTTCACAGACGACATCCAGCGATACCTTCTAGAAGTAGTTTTCAAATCGTGAACCCGATGCCAAGAAGGGTTGGAAGCGGAGGTGTCCAGAGGCCGATGCTTGAGAGTGCTGCTGCATAGCGGTCCAAGTAGGTGCCGAAATCGCGAAGCTGCGGACAGCTGCGCTCACACGTACCCATGTTGGCCGCCGTGGCCCTGCAAAGGTTCCCTATCGCCGAACGACGCCGCGTCGTAGATGCCCTTGCCTTCCCAGCGTAAGACGCGATAGGAAGGTAGTAAAGAGAGCGCAGAACGGCCAACAGCTGAAGTAGCCAGCGTCGATCCTGGTCTTGCTGGCAGTGCGTAAAGCCATACCCACCCCACAGATGCCATATGGCAATGAAACCGCCTCGGGGAAGGACAAGGGGAAGAAGTATACCGCCATATAGCGGGGTGCCACGCACTCCGCACGTACGCTTTGTCGAGACTCAACTGCACACGATGCGAGATGCCTTGCATTTGGTTCTTCATTGTAATGGAGCCCCCTCACTGACACAGGACCCAGTTACAAGCAACTGCGTGAGCTGCTATTAGAGTTGGTCTTGGATAGACGCTTTCATGCGCCGCTTTCATGCGCCGCATTCTTGCGCTGCACGCGGGCTTATCGAGATGACAGGAATGGATCCCCGCATCAACGCGTTGGCGGGGACGTCAATCAAGAAACAGGACAGCAGAAGAGTAAATGGGCGCCAATCTCGATATACACATTTGAGTTCATGAAGCAAGAGTCAGAAGGAAGCGCCTCGTGTAGGAACAGGAGAGGGCGTCAACACGAGAACACATGCACCATCCCGACCATCGCGCGCCTGCGCAAGCCCGCAAAGCAAGCGCGCTCTCAAAAAGTCCCGTCTCCTGAGGCTATCGCGCCCAGAACAGTCCAGGGTCCGCGCGCGAAATGCCAGCAGGACGTCGGCGCGCTCGTACTCCGTTAGGGAAGTGAACTCCGCCTCTCTTTGCGAAACGGGAACGTCGAGGAACTCCCGAAGTGCGCGTACGACGTCTTTCACCCGCACAAAGGCGCGTTCTCCTGCGAACACAGAGAGATCCCAGGGAAGCTCGGCACTGATGACATGCAGAGTCGATACCGGAGGTGAGGTTGCTGGCGCGTTGAATTCCCTTGGTAGGTCCCGGCGGCAGACCAACGACTCAAGAGCCGTCCCCTGTGCAAGCAAGGACGGGTGAAGGGCAAGGCGGGGGGATGTTGAGTTGACCGATGGCGCGCCAATCCTTGCGGGTGGAGTGGTGCCTGGCATCATCCGCGCTTGTTCCTGTAATGGGAGATGAGCATTCCCGACATCAGCGACAAAATGGCTATCCTCGCACACTGAATAGCAGGCTACCAGGAGGTGGCAGACCCTGCTCGCGAGGTCCGCCATGGTGAGCACGGGCATGCACGGGGTAAGATGCAGGATGTTGGTGTTGAGGGTGAAGCGGCAGGGGTGAAATAGGCGTCCAAGCGCCGAGTGGCTCGGGCGCAAAGTTGACCAAGTGCACCTGCGATTGATGGTGAGGAGACAAGAAGAGCACAGTCTTGAAAAGACTCACGTTCGCGTCCCAGCTATCGGCATTTGCGCGTCTTGTAGTAACGAAGTTGGCCATGATAGCAGAGGTTGGCGGGGTAGGTTGGCGGGGATGTCGGATGGGAAGTGGACGAGGGTGCATGTGGGCCCTTATGTACGAAATGCAGCCGGTGCTGAGAAGCAGCATATTCCTGGTATACCGGTTACATGGCTCGTCAGGATCAGTCCACGAGCGAGATGGGCGCCTGAGAAACGCACATTACGATACGTCAACTCAGATTCAAAGCTTGGAAGGGCTTTCAGAGCATCCTTCCGCAGCCTAACCCCTACCGGCAGGAAAGTGATCGCCGGTTGGCCATACACGAATTCAGTATGACAGTCATATCAGTTCCCTCGTGAGATCTCGCCCAGCATGAAGACGGAGGGCGGAGGGCTAAGGGCCACCAAAGTCCCGGTCGAGGGTGCAGTCCCGATTGGCTGGCAATCGGGCAGATCTCATGGGATCGTATCGTTGCTCCCCAGTATCATCGCAGTCGGTTCAATATTGACACTGACAGAGAATAGATGACAAGGAGCAGATAGTCATCTTTGTCGTGCGATGGAGGTTGTCGCGAGAGTCGTCGCTGGCTGCTCGCCGCGACGCCGCGCTTGGCGTCGTACACGGTCACATGCCTTGCGCACTGTAACAGAGCTCGAGCTCGGTAGAGCGCACAACATGTTGAAGGCCCTTTGTACACCTAAGAAGAAGATACACGGGCGCCCAACGGGCGCAACAAGGATTGACTAGCTACATATGCGACTTCTCGATAATGCAATCAATGACGGCGATCAGAATCTACGGCGTTTTGCTCGGCATCAACTTGTTGTACTGCAAGTGAGGAAATCAGTGTGATGAGCGGCCCGCCGCACATCGTGGCCGGGTATTCTTGCAAGTCGTGTCTCTCGTTGAGTTGGCCCAGTTTGAAGCACGGTACTCGTAGCTTGCCGCAATACTTGCATCGGCCCCGTACCAGATCCAAGCCTCTCGTTAGTGAATCATGCACTCGGTCGGGGAGGAGTGCCTACACTCGTACAGTAGCATAGGCGCGGTAGCAGCGCTCTTAAGCGCCTAAGCCTTATTTGCTGCGGCGGAGGACCGCGGACCATGAGGGCTGCCCATAATCCTGATTGGCGCCGCAAATTCGACACGCCAGCAGGCGGGGCGGACAGGGACTGAATATGCCTTGCGACGCAAGAATCTCGAGTTTCGCCAGAAGGTTACTCACCGGAAGGGCATGTCCTACGGTGGGCCTAGCGCGAACTCTAAGATAGCCGCGAGGAACTTTTGTACGCCCGTAGGTGTCGTCAGCTCGCTGAATTGGCGTACTTTCAGATCGTATACGGGTTCTTCATCCGCTCGCGACTTATAAGGAGAGATTGGACTATCCTAGTAAGTGGTTGGATTGAGAGTATACGGCCGATTCCTTATCGTGCCGTTACGGCCCACATCAGTGCATAACAAGCTTACACTCACCATCCCGCCGGGCAGGATAGCCGCTTCAGCTACGAGACGCGAAGAACCTGGATAGCTTCTCATGGCAGTGGCGATGCCCACAGCATAGCTACAGAAGTACGTCGGGCGTCCCAAGAAGGCGTCAAGATACACATATCTGGATTCGGCGCGTCATACCTCGTGGTTAGACTGGTTAGACTGAGGCGATGTGGCGGAAGAGCAAGCTCGGGTTACACGGCGACTCGGACTGCTTCAACACAACGGAAACGTCCCACTTTGACACGAGGGGTGGCGGTTCACATACACCAGTGCGCTGATAAGCCAAGACTTGTCCTGATGCCATACACGAAACCGAAAACATTATGCCTTGGAATGGCCCAACGAAGTCTGACGTTCGCCCTCGCGGTAGTTGTGTTCGGTAGGGAGCTGAGCACTAAGTGCCACCGTGTTAAGCGCATCATAGATTTGAAGATAGTTACGACCTGGCGCGCCCAGCTGCAGACGTGGCATTTTCATGGAAGGTAAGTTGGTGATGGTGCGTGAAGAAGAGCCTCAGCAGCAGCCGAAATGTGCCAACAGGGGCATTTATCACGGCCACATGACTTTCTCACTCCCTCCCGCTTAGGCAGATTCTCGTCGCGTCAAAGCCGTCTCAAAAACGATGCCGGGTTTATATATGATGCCTTATGTACCAGTTAGGACATTCAGTTAAGCCACATGCTCACTCTGTTACCATGTGTCATCGCGATCGAGTTTGAAATGGCTTACGCCGATAATTAGATTTCGGCCAAAAAAAAATGCTATTTGCAGAGTGCCAGTGGACAAGTTGGGGATCGAACCCAAGACCTCATGCAGTCACGAGTTGTGCAAAGCAAGCGCGCTACCACTGTGCTACATGCCCATACCGGGATAACTCTAAATAATAATTACGTTAATCTGTACCGCGCATCCGCACACAAACAGCCTACCCACATAGATATTCGAGTATTTGCTATTCTCCGAGGCTAAACATTGATGAGCAGCACCATACATCGAGATTAGTCTTATGTAGAAAGCGGCTTTCTTATGCTGTGACTTGTCATATCCTCTTGCGGGAATCTCCGATGTCCTCTTCACATCGGCGCTTGCGCGCGATCGCGGCTGAGCCTGTCGATATCATGACGATCATGCTCATCCTCACAAAGACGAAAAGTATTTCAGTGCGCTCCATTGATACATCAAAGAGAGCAACGGGCCCCATGAAGAAAAGGGCAAGGACGGCACGGTGAGCAGGCACCTTTGAAACACTTGTACCTCTCGACGTGGCGCATCCCAGACGAGCCCAATTCACTGCCCCTGTGCACCGCACAAACTGTCTGCTCTCGCCGCGATAGGCAGGAAACATGAGAGCGCGGTTCGCATCACATCATCTATACCAGCCAAGATGCATTAGGGGACGTATCGTCGGCTTCAGGATCCGAGATCTGGTGAGCAACGCGGATGGGGGATGGCGGGTGACGCTACATGGGTGATCCATGGCGCTTTACACGATACATAGCATATGTTTCGCTTCTACATGGTTCTCATGCGAAGGATCCACCCCCGATCTGTTCGCCAGCGCCGATGAGAAAGCCTGCTGCTACCATCGCGAGCAGCAGTAACTGTACCTTAGCAACGAGAGCAAAGTCTCCTTTAAGAAGCACACGAAAGGTTCATGCCATGGTACCTTGCTTCTGAAGGCGCCACCGCAAGGCTTTGAGAGCGCACGCTAAAACCATGCTCGCAACGCTACTGCTCGATCGTGCTCATCATCACTCTGCACATTGGAGAGTTTGATACTCTAGCTAGGATAGTCAGCACTGGCGGATGCTCCAGCGCGCATGCTATAGCCTAGCGGCGTATCCGAATACCCTCATCTTTGCGTAGCGCTCAGGAAGACTAAAGAAGTCAGTGCGACAGCGATCCTCGCGCGCCGCGGAAGAAGACAGAAGTACACCCCCGCATCTCCATCATCTTACCATCGCGTGAAGACGCGTGCACGTTCTAGCGGCTCTTCGGAACATTGAGCCACTCGAAAGGCGCAGCAACGCAAGAAGCGCTTCCTCGCCACTTGTGCCATGGATAGAAAGTGCAGTCCATAGGCAAGGCGGATCTTCACACCGAGACTCGAACAATGTTCATCGCACAAGCGCGCACAATACGAACCCGACGCGGACTCGGAGCCACATTCAGAGCCAAGGTTCTCAACTCATTCGACTTCAAGATTCATGACAAGGAGAGCGCCGCCACTTGTGCCACAAGTAATGCGTAACTGCGGTACGAGCTCCGGGCGCGTTTGGGCGCTCCGTACGGCGGCGCGCTCGCGCAGTTTCCAAGCACCGACGCATGCGAACCAAGGACACAGCGCGAAGACGTACGAGCGCCGAGTGTGTCTTCCATGCATAGTGATTCCGTGGATCGGGCTCGCGAGCCGTATCCGAGCGCTTCCGACCCGCTCTCCACGGGGCAGCAGCTTCAAGCTGAAGTTCATGTTCATACACAATGACGCGTGCACCCGGGCCGTCGAGAGCGCGGTTAGCTCACAGTGGCGAGAGATCTCGGAAGGCGCGCGGCTTCCCGCCTGAACTGGGTTCGCGTCCAAGTGAACGTGCCGGATGCCGAGCATTGACAAAGGCAGGCGAGGAGGTCCAAAAGAAGCCACGCGGAGGAGAGCGTGCAGGCGGAAGGACACCGCTTTGAGCGCAGTGGCAAGAGGAAGAAGAAGGTCGGGTGGACGGAGGATAGACGACCACGAGGTTCGGCGTACGGAACTGAGATCGACACGAGGACTCATACTGCAGGCTTCAGTATCCGAGTATCGCAGCCACCGCGGAGATTACACCGAGTAACTGCTGCCCGCATCGGGCGAGGACTCGGAGAGCTAAGTGTTCCTGATCGTGAGCGGGGAGTGGGCGAAGGATAGGCGCGTATATCGTACCTCTGTTCAGCTGCGCCGATCGATAGGGCATAGAGTAGACTAATAGTCAAGGCGTGAAGGCCTCCTGGTGATAGAGATGGTAGGTTCATTCGCCGAGGAGATGGAATGAGATGTCCGGATCCTTCATCGATATGACTGGCAAAGCGTGCTGGGCTACGCCACCGCGTGTTGGACCTACGCGTGTACGCCGGGCACACTAGCAACGTACGGGCACTGCACGCCGCGGTCGGGCGTCGTCCTGGCGCCTGAAGAATACATGATGAAGATAGAGGTTCGATAGTATGCATTGGGCCGCGTAGAGTTCCAGCCTCGTGGTGAGCCGACGCAAGACGCGTTCTCCGATCTCGAACCCTAGGCTTCACTGGTCACCAGTGCCATTGAATACGCGTAGCTCCATATGCGCGAGCTACACGGATACTAACTGCAATGGGCAAATTGTCAGTAACAGTATGAGCACCGCGTAGGGATCTATTCACCGAAGAGATAACCGGGGATAAAGACATCGATAAGCCAAAGTCTAAACCTGTACCGTACGCCACCGCGTGCTGGACCTATCTGCGTATGCAGCACACGCTAGAGCATGCAGGAAAGCAAGGCACGGGCACCGCACGCCGTCATCGGCGCCCGCGAAGGTAGTCAGAAGGCTCGAGGCTATCGTTCTCTTCGGTCCGTAGATGAAGTTCTCGCGGACAAGTGGTGAGGTACCAAGTGGCGAGGTACTCCGGATGGAGGGACTCTGGCAAGCGAAGGATGAGACGTGCTCTTCGGGGAGCAGTGGGCCACTGAGGACTCCAAGTCTCAGAGCGGTATGGCTTGTGGGAAGAGGGCATCAATGGGGCCAGTGGTGAGAGAGTCAAGCCCAGCTGAGACGCATACGCGTTTCTCGGGCAGCAAGTAATCATTGAGTATCTCAAGTACTCAGACTTGTCGAAAGAGGATATCCATGGGGTCAGTATGACGAGCAGGCGGCCGACAGGTCCGTACAGCGCCAACAGGGACCCATGAACGTACGCAGTGCAAACATGCAGCAGGCACGGCACACATCAGAACCCTTGCGAATACTGCACAGGCCAGAGTGCAAACCGCCTTCCATCGGGAAACACGCCTTCGTCGGCGATGCGATTGCATTCACACTTCTAGACCTCCCGCCGATAAAATTCGCCCGCTCGATGGGCAAAGGTGGCGCGAGGCGAGACGAGGCGGGCGCGGCCCCGAGATGGCGCAAGGTGCGCGATACGTTCTGTTCTGGTAGAGGGTACCTTCTGGATGGAAGTACAACACTACAGTCCCCTCGTCCTCTCCATAGGCCGATGGGGTTGGCAGGCCATTCACACCGAGTCAGACCTCTGCACGGCGGGCGGGGTCGGGCGGCCGTATCGTACGGCAGATGCCATTGGAGAATGGAGGTGTGATAGAGAGCACGCGCGTGGGGTGGTCATAATCATGAGAGAAGGGGCTGGGCGCATGCGGGCCCGAGTTCGGAGAGGTTGGAGGAAAAGCTGAGAGGACCGAATGCGGGTATGCTGTTATGAAGATAGGGGGTATACGGATTTGCTCATCGCACACTGTCAATGGTCATGCAGACCAATTCTGTAAGAAGAGTTCTGGGTGAGAAGGCGGACATGTGGCACGGCTTGGAAATGCCGTACCGAAAGAACGAGCGACTTGTGCGGAATTGGTGCGTCCTCGTCGGAGTTCAAGCCGGTGCTCTAAGCTTTGACTTTCGACGCTTGGAGTGGACCGCGAAGTACGGACAAAGAGCATTAGTACGCGGTGTAGGATGACCGCGATTTCGAGGAGAAGGATTTGCGCGTACTTAGGCGCGTTGAGGATCTGGAAAGCGTGTGTTGATAGACGGATTGAATTGGGGATCTGGGATGGAGGGTTAGCTTATCCCATGCGGCGCGGTCGCATGTGTAGCTTGCCTGACCTCGTCCGCAGTGCTTTGACCTATCGCCCAAGTTCGCCATGTCTCCGCGAGGTACAAACACTACGAATCGCACAACACCCAAGGGCTTATACGACAAACCAAGGACTCCAAGCTGGACGAAGGACCACCTGGATACAAAATCAGGCCATGTGCCACAAACAGCAAGATACAACTGATTATCGCGTGGGATCAGGATAGATATACCCATCGAAGGGGTGCGCCCAGCGCGCATGAAGCGGACAAGGACACGACACGGAGCTTAGATCATTACATCCTGTCAACCCAAATGGACTACGCAGACGTGTAGGCTGCCGCTCGACGTGTACCCGTACATCGCAGCTGTCAACGGAAGCGAACCTTGGCTAGAGGAATGAGCCAGTGAGTCGAATGCAACCCTGTTTGGCCGGACTGAAAGTGCTGTATCACAATCATTGTACGCCCATCAGCCATCCGCGCAGTCTCGCCCCACGCTTCTTGGGAGCACGGGGCGCAAAAGCGTCGCAAGGGGAACTATGGCATTGAGGAGAGGCGCTGCAGCAGTGAGGGCGCTGTCGGTAGAGCTCGCAGCAGGGAGGGTCCAGCAGTGCTGAATGCTATCATGCGGCTCGCAAGGGGAAATATTACGACGGGGCGGTGAGTTGCAATTTCGAATGCCGACGAGGCGGGGCGGGCTGGGAGTCAGTTTGTTCAAGGCAGCGGCCGCGCTCTTTCCGAGTGACGGCGTAGGTGTTGTAGTGCTGTGCGGAACCGAGGACACCGGGATATGGCAGGCACAGCGACGGGTGCACGCTGGCATGGAAGTTGAGAGCAAGAAGCGCGCTGCTGGACATACTCGAGCACATCGCATGTTGCTCATTGTGCGTTGGACGGCAGGGCGTTGTCCGCGAGGCTTGCAGCGAGCGGCGAGGCGAGGCAGATGCGCGCGGTGGGCGCCTGCCCCGAGATGAACAGAACGGGAAATTGGAAGCGGGAATCTCCGAGGGCCCGATTTGACTCGAGCTGTGCATCGCGACGC